GCTGGGTCAGGTGCCACACAGGCCAGTGGCAACGAAGAGCACAGTGCTTTCGACCTGATGCGCTCTCCACTGCGTATGCCACCACCGAGCAGTAATCGATTCTTTCGAATGAAGCGAGAAAACAATCAAGAAACTGAGGAGGAGGAGGAAGAAGAGGACCCAGACACGGTNCCAGGCCAGTGGCAACGAAGAGCACAGTGCTTTCGACCTGATGCGCTCCCCACTGCGTATGCCACCACCGAGCAGTAATCGATTCTTTCGAATGAAGCGTGACAACAATCAAGAAACTGAGGAGGAGGAGGAAGAAGAGGACCCAGACACGGTTACCCTTTCCGCATACATCGCCAACCAAATGCAAGGTGAAAAGGTGCGAACAATTAGAGAAGCCAACTTGCAAGGCCAAACGGGACACAGTTGTGACAAAAATCGCCGACGTACGTGTCAGGTGAGTTTTCAACTAATGCACTTACACATTCTCACAACTTGTACCACTTTGCCAGGATCTACTGCAGCACTTTGGCATCAACAGCGAAGGCTACTACGAGTTGCAGCCAAACTCGCAGACCAAGCTAACCTTGAAGGCGTACTGTCGCTTTTTAAACTCCACCCACGCCATGACCATTATACATCACGACACTGAGGACCGCCTGTACGTCCGCTCATCGGTTGACGGGCCTGGGTCATACGTGCGCTCAATCACCTACGAGTCGAGCATCAGTTTGATAGTGGCCCTCATTGACCACTCTGCATACTGCCGTCAATTGCTTAGCTACGAGTGCAGCGGATCAGGATTTTACTTCAACTCTTCACGGCCCAACTCGTGGTGGATTTCACGATACGGCTATAAGGAGTACAACTGGGGCGGAGACACAAACAATGCCTGTGCCTGCCACCCACACTGCTCACCGGCGGATCTGCGTTGCAACTGCGACCTGGGACAGCGATTCAACTGGACACGGGACTATGGGTACGTGGAGAACCGAACCAAACTGCCCATTAGACAGGTGAGTTTTTGTCCGGAGGGGAAAAAAGAAAACTTATTGGCAACTTATATCGACAGGTCGCCTTTGGGGACGTTTCTCGAATCGGTCAGCTAGGCTACGTTCGAGTGGGCGAACTCGAGTGCACTGGCAACAAAGCGGACAGCAATGTCTGTGAATCGGTTAGCAGCAAAGCGACTGCTGCACATCAGCAGCATGCAAGGCAGTTCCAGTGCCAGTCAGGCCACGTCATCAATGGCTCTTTCATCTGCCTGTACGAGTTTGACCAGCTGGGCTATCAGATTGGCTGTCGCGATGTGTCCCACCTCGCCAACTGCCAACACTTTGAGTGTCCCCCTGACTACGTCAAGTGTCCCGGCTCGTACTGCATTCCCCACCGGTACATGTGCAACGGCAAGTGGGACTGCGTCAATGGCCTTGATGAGATTGACTGCGCTCGCTACACCTGCCCAGGGCGGTACAAGTGCGCCAATGAGAGTTCGTGCATTCTGCTGCACCAGCTCTGTGACTCATTCAAACATTGCCCACTCGGTGATGATGAGTGGCTCTGTGACCTGACCTGTCCCGAGTCCTGCATTTGCACAGGCATGTACGTCAACTGTCGAGACTCAAACATCACACTGGCCGCCTTTCAGCACATGTCCAAAGAGACGCGCAAACTTGACCTGAGCGGCAATCACCTGGGTCCTGATCTGGCCAACATTGACTTTTCCCCCTTTGCCGACTTGGGCGAACTAATACTGCACAATAATGACATTGAGATTATACGGGAGCGCAAGTTTGTGCACCTAACCAACCTCTACAAGCTCGACTTGCGCCACAACCGAATTAAAGTCATTGAAGATGGTGCATTTGCCGGGCTAGGCCAGGTGAGATCACTGCTGCTAGAGGACAATCCCACGCTGGAGGAAATTCAATCAAGTGCCTTTGTTGGGCTGGTCTCTCTGGTACATCTCAACATATCCAACACACGTCTAGCAAAACTCAACTCGAACGTCTTTCTGCAAATGAGCTCTCTGCAGACACTAATTCTAGTGGACAATCAAATTGACACTATTGAAAAGGGCGCCTTTAATGAACTATCCTGGCTAGTCTCGCTCGACCTGCGCGGCAATACCATCACCAATTTTCCCAAAGACATGTTCTCGCCAATGAAACCGCTGAAAACCCTCTCCACAGACAGCTTCAAGTTTTGCTGTCTAGCCAACAGCGTCGTCGGTTTGCCCTTTAGTCGGTGTCTGCCGCCACAGGATGAAATATCGGACTGTCAGGACCTCATGTCCAACACTGTGCAGCGACTGGTTCTCTGGGTGCTGGGTATCGTCGCCTTTTTCGGTAACCTCCTGGTGGTCATTTGGCGCTTCAAGACGCGCAACCAGACGAATCGAGTCAGTAGTACGCTCATTCTCTCACTGGGCTGTTCTGATTTTTTGATGGGCATCTACCTGCTGATTATCGCCTCAGTGGACGAGTACTACCGCGGCAGCTACATTGAGCACTCAGACTACTGGAAAAGTTGCTTGCTGTGTAAAATCTGCGGCGTTCTCTCTACCATCTCTTCGGAAATGTCCGTCGCCACACTGGTCTACATAACCATTGACAGGCTCATTTCAATATCATTTTCCTTTTCCGGCTACCGCTTCACCCTCAAGTTTACCAAAAGGTAAATTAAGTTGTTGGTTTAAAACAGTTGCATAACCACACACTTTTTTTGACGCAGACTTTTAATCATCACTTGGATATTCATGTTCCTGGTGTCTGCAGTGCCCTTGCTGCCCATTGATTACTTCAAAGGGCAGTTCTACTCGCGATCAGGCGTTTGCCTGGCACTGCACATTACCACTCACCGCCCTCCCGGCTGGGAGTACTCGGTTGCCGTCTTTCTCTTTGCAAATCTGCTGGCTTTTCTGATGATTGTCTTTTGCTACTGCTACATGTACTCGACGATTAAACGGTCCAAGAAAAAGATGAAAAGCATGATTACACAGAAACAGGATCGAGAAGCAAGGGTAAATGTTACAGTGCAGCTGCCGATTATACTAATTATTTTCTCAACAGATTGGCTGGCAGATGCTCTACATTGTCGTCTCCAACTTTTGCTGTTGGTTTCCAGTGATCATAATGGGCATGCTGGCACTAGGCGGAATCGCCATCTCCGGCAGTGCCTACTCCTGGACTGCAGTCTTTGTCCTGCCGCTAAACTCGGCAACTGACCCACTCATCTACACTTTGATTCAGTTTATTCAAAACTTTTACGCCAACCGAGAACAAGAACGTCAGATGTTGCTGGCCACAGCTGGTGGCACCAGTCGACACGGCCGTGGAGCTCTTCTTCGCTTGGCCCAGTCCTCTATGCCAGGCTTAAACGGGCAAAATCACACTAAAATACTGCGAGGCTTCAGTAAGCTTTCCAGTGAGATAATAGCCGAATCAAGCGTCAGTAGCACCACCAATGGCAATTTTGCTGCCAACTCCAGTCATCACTTGCTAAGATCAAGCTCGTATTTACAGGCAAACGCCCTGCTCCTAAGACCACCCAGTGGCTATCAAACACTAGGCGAGTTCATTCGAACTCACGAGAACATTACCACACGAGACCTACTTGAGATCTGCCACTCGGTCAGTGGCAACCTGAAGGAGTTTCATCAGATGGGCTTTGCCCTCGGCACTATTGGCTTTGACAACATTTTCGTTACCAAAGATCCAGTGCCAGTGAGGGATGCAAGGACAAATGATCAAGTGACGGCAGAAGAATCTAGTACGTTACACGAAACGAGTGAAAATGAAAATGAACAGGGAGATGGGGCAATATTGGATGAAGACGATGATTCAGATGTTGAATATCGATTTCAAACATACATCCCAGCAGCTGGCTACGCCTACAAAGTGGCGTATAATGACGAAGACGTTGACGACTACGCGGTGAATGTAGAAGAATTTGGCCTAGTGGTCAAGCGCATGCTGCAGCATTACCATGCTAGGCAGCTGCAAAGACAAACATCATCAAATAGTCAATCAAAAAAAGGACAAGAAAATAAAACTGATGACAGCTCTGAAACTAAATAGAATACAAATTTACTCAAAATGAAAATTTATTTATGAGCACAAAATCTAGTTGTATTCAAAATGAAATGAATGATCCTTGTTCAAGATAGTAAAAAGTCTAAAGAGGCAAAATATAAACATCTTAGCTAGTGACACTGGTTGTACATTTTGAAAAAATAATCTAAAGCATTGAAGGTCGACTAAAAAATGCATGTAAATATCATATTGTAAATACAAATGTATAAATAAAAATTATTGCGTGTTGCACACTCGCACACACAATTCCGGTAAATGAGGTAGTGGAAGAAAAACAGACCACTTACCAAATTTAAATAATTACAGTATCTAAAGACTATATCATTCAAAAAATAAATTGACCAGACGCGTTGATACAAAAAAATGTAGATGCCTGTGGCAGATGTGGTATGGAGGAAAAAGAAGGATGAAGGTAATGGCACATAAATAGCAAGTTTCAGGAATGCTTATGAGCTTCTTGGGTGGACGTGGCCGGTAAATACTGTGGTAAAGGAGACACGACATGATTTTTGTAGACTCGGTTCAGTGCCTCGCAAACAAAGCGAAACTGCATTGTAGTCTGAATCAACATGGCCCGTTGGTTGCGCATTGTTCTAACCAGATCGAGTGGATAGATGGGCTGGTTGGCCTCTATCAAGCAGATGCCCGACTCCATTAAAATTAACACTCCCGTCCTTCCGATGCCCGCACTGCAAATGCAAAACCGTGTTTGTAAAAAAACTCCAATGATCGCTCAATTGCTGTTACATACCTGCAGTGGACGACTAGTGGCGAGTCGGGACTTGACTGTCGAAGTTGGCGGACACGGAAAATTAACTTCAAAAAATCAGAATCGTCATCGGGCACCCCCTGGTCCGGCCATGCTAAATACTGAAGATGAGTAATGTGATGCGATTCTTGAGTCTAAAATTAAAATTTTTATATTATCAATTCATGCTTGGATGCACCATTTATGCTTACTTCAAGGTCAGTCAGTTTAAATTTACGTTCAAGAAAAGCCGTTTCATCTTTGCAGCCCTCAAGGGAAAGCTCCAGTTGGTCATTAATTAGAACCGTTTGATTGTCATCTGGCCAATACTTGAAGCACTTTTTTCTACCGTCCTCTACCAATGGCGTGACCATGACAATAACTGTGCTTCTTTGCTCCCAAATCATTTGCCAGAAATCAGAAGTTGTTCTTTTTAACGGTCCTTGTGTAGCAATATAACTATATTGGAATAATATTTTAGATTTTGTAACCCAACTTTTTAAAATACAGACTCACCGATTAACTGTTCCACTGGCTTCAATTTCCATGACGACATGAGACGCATTTATATAATCACCAGTTATGCAATCATTCAAGATTACACGAGTTGAATCATCTGCAAAACAGCAAAAGTTGAATCTTAAAGTATAAATTAAACACTGAACTTACATGGTGCAATATCCAAATAACGATTCTTGAGCACGTTGCACTGGAATCTAGCAATTGAGATTGGCTCCTTTTCATTACGTCGATACAATTGCTGTTGAAAGCAAAACATTAGTTTTTAGTTTGAGATTTATAAAAGGACAAAGCACCTCAAATTGAACAATCAACGATTCACTTTCGAGTCCTTCTTGCAAAAGATTCATAGAAATGTCCAGCAGCGATTTAACTGGCTCCATCGACAGACGATTATTTCCACTCGAAGGCATGTTTTCGACTGCATTCTCTTCGTCAGTTGTCGTGTACTGAAAAGGCGGCTCTTCTATACTGTCATCGTCGCACTGGTGGTGGTGGTGGAATACTGGAAATGAAATACGCGTAAATGATATGATAACTGACAACTGTCATTTCCTCTTACCATTCGGCCGAATTAATAGCACCAATTCCGCCTCTGGGCCATTATCTTTAGTTGAACGAATCAATTGCACCACCTAAAAAGAATGTTAAAATACAAAAATGCAAAATTTAAAATCTACAAATTACCTCTTCATGATTCAGTCCTGATACTTCAGTGCCGTTGATGGAAATCACTTGATCCCCTTCACGCAGCTTGGTGGGAAAGGCGTTATCAGCCGGCGTGTTTGGTGCCACACGAGACACCAGCACCGCACAGTGCTGATCAAAGCCGCCCTTTACATTAAACCCGAATCGACCCTCTTGATCAGGCTTCATTGAGACGGTCATCAGGTGGACGGGAGAAGAGGCGGACGAGTCCTCCGGTGAGTCATCCAATTGGACTGCAGCAGACTTGGCGGCAGTTTCAGTGGCAGCCACATCGTAGAGCTCTTTAATCAGCTCCCGAATAGGCGAATCAATTTCCTTTTCCACCTCTTTTCTATAGTTGTCCACATCATCTTCTACAATAGGCACGTGCACCACTATTGTAGAATTGTCCTCAATAACCGGTATGGTATCAGCTGCTGTGCTACTCGTCGCGTTTGTCACAATGCTTGTGCTTGTTTTGTCTTGATCAATAAAGGGCAATGAGATCATTGCTGATGGACTGTAGGCGGTAGTCGCTGTAGTGGTAGTGCTTGCACTGGAAATTGGCCTAGCAAGTGAAAAAAATTTAAGTATGATTGCAACACCAAAATGCCTCATCATAATGACAACTTACGGCTGCCGCTGGTTATCAATGTTGTTGTTATCGTTGTCACCGATACCGTTAGTATGGCGACATGTGCCATTGGCCGTACTACAAGGTCGACCATTTAACTTGAGATCGTGTTTACCGTTTTTCTCAGTACTGCATCCTAAACTGATTGTAGACACTTTTTGGTGATAAGACGAGGCAGAGGATATTGATGAGGAACGCGACGTCGAAGCTGTCTGATGACTTAGAATGGATGATTTGCGCTGAGGAGGTTGAGGAATTGGTGGCACGTAGGCGACATTATGACCAGATGAGAAGCGGTGAGAATTGGTAGCTGCGATTGCAGTTAATACTGAAGTGCTATTGTTCGTCGTCGAGTTGACTGTGCTTTGAGCTGATTTGTGCAAAGATCCATTTTGGAGTAAAGGTAGAGGCGGCGTCGGTGGCAATGTGTCGAAAGTGCTTTCCGAAGAGGAGGAAGACATGGTCCCGTTTGAGCCTAGCTTTCCATTCAATTCGTCTGTGACCATTTTTGTTGGCTTTTCATTGTTGGTCAGCCTTAAATTGGCCAAATGTTTTTGTGCTTCGTTCATCTTACCGACCGAAGATAGTGCCGGCATGGTGGCATTACGAGCATTATTCCGAATAAATATACGCTCAGTCCTAGTAAGTCGCTTTTTGTTTTCCTCGATTGTCTGAAACTCAGTTTTTCCGCTGTAGCGAAACTTTGAGCCAAGGGAAAAGAAGAAGAAAAACTTTTTCGTCAGAGGCTTTGGTGTGTGAAGGCGAAAGAATGTGTGCTGCTCAACGCATGCTTTCCACAAGGCTTTACAAGCCCTATAGGAGCAAAGATTGAAGCCAATCGCGTTATCAAAACGTTCCGTCTAGAAAAAAAGGAAAAATTATGATTTAATTGACATTCGAACAGACGCAGCTAAAAGATTAATCATGTCAATCAGGTCAATTTAGCTAATGACACTTACGCCTTCATGTTTTAGTTGAACAAAGAAAAATCTTCTTTTAAAAGAGATTTTTACAATCTTTGCCCAAGAGAAGGTATTGACTCGAATCGATTGCTTGAAAACAGTCAGTCCGTTGCCAGACACGCCAATTTGAATATCGTGATTTTCACAATCCTACAAAGTCGAATAAAAATTTACCAACAAAAATATACAAAAGTAAAACAAACCTTGGCATGGTGCAAGTCTACCCCGTATAGATCGAGGTTTTTAGCTTCATCCAAGTAATTGAGCTCAACGTCCGCAGGAGTTTGTCCTTGGTGTCGTCTATGGAGTTTTTCGACTTTTGCCTCGAATTTTTCAGTCTGATTTGGTATGTATCGAAACCGACTAGCATAACCAGACGCAAAATCTTCCTCGGAATAATCACCTAGTTCAGCTGTAACAAAATTTCAAAATGTGATAATACTGAAACAATTACAAACTTACACTGCAGCACATAACTCGCCAGTAGAGCAAGAGTTGAGTCGTCACCACTTAGTCTTCCAGAGAGAATGTCTAAGGACCAAATCAAACATTAGAAAACAGCAGCACAATTAGAATATACCTTTTCGTAATTGTAAGTAGTAGTGGTATCTGGTGTATTCCTCAAAAAGACGCCCGACATCGGAAACGTAAAATTTGACACGAAAATGCAGAATATAGGGTGAAGATGTGAAACGCATCTGCTTTCGGATCTTTTTACTTGGATCTAGCCAGCGCTGTTATTGGAAAAGTAAAAATACAAGTTAGTTGAAGGTAATTAATTGAATTTGTGGTAGAATCATTTACATTATACACCGTAGTACTCGAGTTGGACGACTGTGACGAGGATGACACGCTACTGTTTAGCATAGACGTACTGCCGTAATGATGGTGTATCATTTCGGTGAATTGANGTTAGTTGAAATTTATTTATATATATCTATTTAAATGAATTTGTGGTAGAATCATTTACATTATACACCGTAGTACTCGAGTTGGATGACTGTGACGAGGATGACACGCTACTGTTTAGCATAGACGTACTGCCGTAATGATGGTGTATCATTTCGGTGAATTGAAGCGCAAAGTACTCTCGCTCAATCAGTTCAAGGTGTCGAAATACTAGGTCCAGAAGTTCTTCACCTTTGGCAGTACGCTGCAAGTAAAAATTGGAATTAATCAAGGTTAAAGTCTTGCGAGTACCTTTTCACTTACGTCAACTTCAAAGATGTGCTGAGAATCGTCGAGAAAGTAGACAACGCATTTAATGGTCTCCACCTGCGGCGGCGGTGATTGCTGCACAGATTGCTGGCGGACAAACTTGGCAAAAGCTGCCGGTAGTATGCTGCTTGATCCAGCACCGGTCGACGCTCCAGAGACTTGCTGAACATTTCCAGCGCTGCCGCCGTGAGCCAGTTCGTGTGCGTGGACATTGTAGGTGCCCGATAGAGCGGCGATGAATTTACGCGACATTGAAAAGCCAGAAGACGCCCAAAGGCTCAGGCAAGTCCGATGCCCTATCTAAATTGTGATGGCGCCGGTGCGAATCTAGTGTCACTTTGCTCAAATCATTTGTGCTTTGTGTACGGGAAGATTGTTGCAAGGGTCTTCCGGCGACACATGTCAGAAGGAGTGTGGGGAGTGTGTTTGTGTGTTTTCTGCCTGGGTGCGAGGGTCTGCAGTGAGCGCTGCCAGCGCAGTGGGAGCAGTGTCGGCTGAGAGAGCCTGTTTCAGGAACGAGGTGTGCCAGTGCTTCTGTAACGGAATGGACTGCAACACAGCAGCTCTCCCAAGCGTCTGCCTTCAATTGTTTACATTGAATCTCAACAGGCGACAGTGCTGCCCCGCACGGAGCCACTCAAAGATGCTCGCATTTTCGGGGGGATTGTCAATTGGAAATCGGTTCCATCTTTTTCTGCCAACCTTGATTTCTAACCACTATAGAATTAAAATTTACCATTTTTATTCAGAAAATCTGTTTTTTGGTTTATCAGGTTGTTTCTTCTCACTCAAAGGTTTCAAGTCATAGGCATTTCGCCCGGCATAGGATGCCGTTGCTTTGCTATGTAAACAGAGTGCGTCTGGCTATTTTGTTCCAACGCATGTTTTTGTTTTCAAAAACATCTTTTCCCAAACATCTGGATTGATTTCTTTTATTTAAAAGATGGCATTGATGAAGCAGTCGTTTCGATTGGTATCGCACACTTTAAAATCCACCCTTCCAGGCGCCAATAATGCCCTTCAACGTTTTCCAAAGCGAAACATTTACCAGAGCATGCCGCAGTTGGCCAACTACGAGGGCGACGGCAAAACCACAATCACAATGCTTGATAAGGAACTGTCAAAGTACATTCTTATTGAATCCTGCAATGGACGTGGATTTTTTCTTTCAAACAATTCATTCGCATTCGGATCAATTATTCTCTTTCCTAACGTCATTTTTCAGGTTTGTTTGTGATGAAGCATTTTTCCTTCTAAATTCTAATGATCATTTGTTGTTTAGTGGAAAGTGAAAACGATTGAAGATATCAATAGAGACTCGTTGACGTTATTCAAGCTGCTTGAACCAAAACTGGACCTCCTTGTGATTGGCATTGGTGAGCCTCGAGCCTGGTCGCATGCAGCAATGACGCGGATGCGAAAAGAAGTCAAAGCTTCAGGAGTGAATGCTGAAATTATGGCCACTCGTGACGCCGTAGCCACCTACAACTTCATGTTGGATGATTACCGAGTGGTAGCAGGAGCCTTTTTGCCAACTGTAAGCAAAGGAGAAGAAACACTGCTTAAACTTAAACGGAACCCTCGAGTGGCTTCAATTGATGCAAGTTAGCCAATCCTGGTTCAGTCATTAGTCATCTGTTTATAGTTAAATTGTACACAAAAGTAGATAGATTTATTATTTGTGGTGATAAATGTAAAACTAAAAACGTTGTTAAAAGAACTGGAATGCTCATTTTTTTCACATCGGGTGCAACTCAAACATTGCCGCGTAGTTTTTGCTCCTCTTCAATGGACTCAAAAAGGGCTTTGATGTTGCCAGCACCGAAACCGCCAAAGTGGTGACGCTCAATCAGCTCGAGAAAGACCGTCGGTCGGTCCTGTATGGGCCGAGTGAATATCTGATAGAGATGGCCAGTATGGTCGTAATCGACGAGAATGTTGTGCTTGTGCAGCAGTGAAATGTCCTTGCTGATGTTCACCTTATCCGCTTGCAGACGCTGCTCCAGCTTTTGATAGTAAGTGTACGGTGTCTCCAGAAATTGAACTCCTAAAAGAGGGTGTCAGTATCAGCCTCACTTCAGCCATTGATAACCCTTACCTCGATCTTTGAGCTGAATAATGGACTCACAAATGTCCTGCGTGCCAAAGGCAATGTGCTGCACACCTGGACCACGGTGGTAGTCGATGAACTCCTGAATCTGCGATTTGAAAGAGCCATCAATGGGCTCATTAATAGTCAGCTTGATGCACTCATTGTCGTCGTTGACCATGAAGATTGACCGCAAACCAGAGTGCTCGGAGTTGACCACAGTGTCGTCCTTTGACCAGAAACGCTTGAACTTTAGCGTTTCCATGTACCTGCAAAAGGACGGCAAAGTGATTAGATGAAAGGAAAAAAAGGTGAGGGCAGCGGTGAGTTCTGCACCATTGGACGATTTGCTTCATTGTGCCGCTGATTTGGTTCAGTGCCAGGTGGTCGATCTTCTGCAGACCCGTCGGGGGCAGTCGTGACCAGATGGAGCCAGACAGACTGTCGCGAAGTGGATTGCAGCCCCAGTTGGGCAGAAACTTGTCGCCCGGGTAGTTATTGCGCTCCACCAGAGTATGTGTCGTACTGCCGTAGGCATTCACACGGGCGTATCGTACGGTGCCGTTCTGGTCCTCCTCACTCCACTCCTTCACGGGAATGGATAGCGAGCGAATGTGCTTCGTAAAGTCAGTCACAGAGTTGACGTTGATGGCTTCATTAGGGAGATTCATTGGTTATCAGACTTGGGTGGTGGTGCGCTCAAGTGTGAGACGAACAGACTTACCGACATCATTAACCGAGTTGCCATGGCGAAGAATGTGCCCGTTGACTCGCTCATTGGCGATCTCATCGTGGAAGGGAGAGACAAAGACCAGGACAATGTCGTTCAGTTTGACCGCATGTGAACACCTGTCTCGGTGACCAGTCTCCAGGCCACGAAACTTGAAAGGCTTGAAGCCAAACTGAAGACACCAGTTGAGTGCTGCCTGCTTGGCATTTGACACATAGAAGGTCAGATGCGACAGTGACACACATCGGCTCATTTTACAATGCAAGGGTACACTCGCCAATCAGGCAAGTAGGAGAAGTAGAGCCTTCCTTCTCGCTGTCGTTAACTGGCACACACTAGTGCTGGTGTTTGGATGAAACCGATGCAGAAAGTAGGTAGTGAACACAAATAAATAGAGACCAGAAAAGTGGACAAGTGCAGCGGGCGGTAGTCGAAGTGGATGTGCACCGTCGGCTGAGTGTGATTCGGCCAGACTAAAGAGGCATCTGTGTCTCCGATAGTCTCGATTAGTCAGCAAAAAGGTGAGATGTGCCGATTGGACGATCTCAGTTCAGGCGCTGAAGAGACGACACAGATTGTCACGAGCGATGCTGCAGGGGCACTTGCACAAGTTCAGCATAAGAGCTGTGCTTAGTGTCGTCGCAACAGTGCCACTTTGAACTTGGGGGACACTAGTGCGCTCTAACCAGTGATGAGGGACTGATGGAAAGACTTGATGGAAAGAAGGACTTGATGGGGAAGGCGCATTCGATCACTTGCGATTAGAGCAGCTCGTCACTGGCCGGGCGACAGGAGACAGGGTCAATATCAAGTCACCATCAGCTCGGTGCTGCTCATCTCCTGTACGTGAATGAGCAAACTGGATGACGAGGGCACGCTGGCCATTTATGCGCAACACGAAAGGGACTAGTAAACTTCCAGTTTTGAGTCACAGTGCACTACGGAAATGCTGAGAAGCAGTCAGCCCTAATCATGTTTGTGAGGACGCTTGCTACTTGTAGAAAAAAAATCATGAATGAGACCACTTAAGAAATGACAAAAATACTTCAAAAATGTAGTATGCCGGTACTTGAAAATATTTAAGATGTCATCAAAAAATAATAAAAGAATGTCTTAAAAATAGACAGTCTTATTAGTCTCTGAAGCGGTCAGTGATGCAACATTGCCCACTTGAAGTAAAACAAACGTCCTCGCTTAGACTGACTCAATCATGCTGATTAACAAATTAAACTCATTTTAAAGTTTGTCAAATTGCAAGTTAAAGTGCATAAAGTACATTAAAATGTAGTGCATTTAGAGAGAGGAACTTTTAGCTGCAAAAAGTCGAAAGTTCACAGAGTGCAAGAGGATTTTTATGCAGAAAGAAGAGTTGCAAATGTGTCTGACAGTAAAATGTCACTTAGTCTCTCTCTCTCTCTGCACTTGCACATTTTCTTTTACTTTCTCCCATCTTCCCAAGTGTACACATGTTTACGGAAAAACGATAATTTCTAATGTTTAAAATGCTAAAAACTGGTTCTAAGAAAGATGAAATTGGTGATAAACTTGTCAAGTATGCAAACCAAGACAAACTTAGTGCAACGAGTTTTTGGTGTTAGAAGTAAAACGCAGTAGAATTTTCACTGATTAACAAAAAAATTGAAATTCAAAAAATTTAAAATCAGGCAGAAGCGCCATCTGTCTGATATCGTAAAATGAGCATTCGTGTTTATTTATTTTTTGCTGATGCTTCCAACTTGATCCAACTTTTTTACCAGGAGGTGTTTCTCTTCAAAAATCTCCAGCTAAACAGATCTTGCCTCAGCGATAAGTCATTATCCAAGTAACCAGTCGTGCAATATGTACTTTGATAATAAAGAAATCGACCCACGAGACTGTCAGTATCGAGCAAATTCCAAGATTCGCAAACAAATTGAGCAAGTAATACGTGAAAATAAAATAAGATACGGACTGTTTGGTGAAAAGTCGGGACATGATGATGATCCTTATCGAAAATCGTCTTCAGTAAAGAATCGATTTAAGCCGTCAAAAAATAACTCCAATAATGAGAATAAAGAAAACCAAGAAAAAGATGCAGAGCTACTCAGTGGCGCTTTTGGAAAAGAGCAGATGGTCACCTTCTTGGAACAACTGGAGGCACTCATGTTTCACGAAGAGGAGCACAAACAAGCCTTCAGTTATAATGACCTAGTCAAAATACATCAACTTTTGCAATACATGGAGAAAGACCCTGATGTAGAGGAGGAGAAAAGGAGTAAAAAGTCAACGCCTACATTTCGAAATCAGTTCTTTTTTCAGTTTATGGAAGACAACTTTAAAGTGATTCAGCCCGAAAAGCGCAAGAATGCCGTCCTCGATGAGCGTATTCGGAAGCTAAAGTACCAAGCAGCCAGAAAGGACTATGACACAATGACCGGCAGTGTGAGCAGAGCTTTCCTTGGCGGAAGTAAAGGAAGCAAATCTAGCATCTCTCAAGACATCAAAAACCTGAGAGGGACGTTGGTTGCCACTTTAAACTCATTCATGGTGATCATTTGCACATTTGCTTTTGTGTATTTTGCGGTCGGCTACGCCTCTCCGAGCACACCCACTACCGGTCGAATAATATCCGGTTTCTCTGCCGCAATGGTTGTTGGTGTAGCTGAGATTTACTTTTTAATCAAGTTAATTTGATGGATACCAGATCACTGTTATTAGCTCCTTAATCAAGACTTTAATCAATGCGTTCAATTTATAAATTCAATAAAATAATTTATCTGGAAAAGCCAATCCTCGATTGTCTGGTTTGCGTGGTCTTGCTGCTACTTCCATTCACCGAGGTTGTTCCATTTGAGTTTCCGCCATTGTTGTTGTTGCTTCCGTTTGAGTTTGAAGTTGTGGAATTGCTTTCCTCGAGGTTAGAGTTTTCTTGGAACTCTTGGATGTCCTCTAGCTTGACCGAAATTCGGGTCAGCTCGCGACGGTACATCTTGGTAACCAGTGGTTCAGGGTAACCAGGTAATTTACCAAGGACAGGAGTTGGTATCGTAAAAATTTGGACTTGTTTTGCAGACGCTTCTGAAAAGATAGGCAAAGAGTTCTCCGCGCTTAGAAAAGATATCTTTTTTCTCGCTCATAACATGGGCAGGGCGGAAAAAGTTTCGGGAAGATGTTATTTCTATCACTTGTCTAGCTAAAATTCAACGTTTTTTTGTATACAAAAAATCAGTAACGTCTTTTGCCGCGCAAAAAGCTCATTTTCTGATCTGATTGTCTTTTATTTAAAATCAACATAATCATCTACTTCTCATCCATCATGGCCGATAGTATATTTCAAGTGATTTCAGATTTTTACGAATTGAAAAACTTGGTTCTCGGTTCAATCACCATTGATGTGGCTCGCAAGTTTGACATTTGTTTTGGAAAATTTCGTGAGGCACTCGACAAGCCGGGTGCTGAAATAAATAACGACGGCTCCAGTACACCAGAAAATAAGGAGTTAAGTGAAAAGATGAAGCTTTTTGAGAAAATTCGGCAAGAAAGCATTGACAAATTGTCAGTTTTATTTGACGCCAAACTTACTGAAATTCTCGAACAGTTCTTCAAGCAATCTGATGTTGCCACTAAAATTAAGCACCTTGTGAATGCTCAAACTCAAGAAACTCTTATATATCCAACTTATGAAGCAAATCAGGAGATTGGAAAAATATTTAAAGACGACTTGGAGAATCTCCACAAAGAAATTAGCGAAAGTTTGAAACAAAAAGAATCACATCTAAGTTCTTTGAATGAAACGCTTAAAGAATTGCCTACCAAGTGTAAATCTGACCAAGTTATTCTTCTAAAGGTGAGTTTGTTTTCATTAAAGTTTATAACTCTCTAACATTGCTATTTACTTTCAGAAATATCGAAATTACACCATGAACATCTAAGATCAACCAAATACATTTATTGTATCTTTACACTATTTTAATTTATAAACTGTTAATTACCCTTTTTTGGTTTATATTATTACGTTTGTTTTTGTTCCTAGACACAATCTCCTACTTAGTAGCCGTAATGACTGTGTACCGGACTATGTTGGACACGGAAAGTTGGACAATGGCCGCCCAGCAAGGCACCCTATGACTGGCCAGCGAGAACAAGTCAATCAAAGCCCTGCATTGTGCTTCTGAACGTAAGCATCTGTTACTGTTGAATGTGCACTATGACTAGACTCTATTGGATACGGGGGGCTCTCTTTCGCTTTCAATTAGTGCTTTCCACAGGCTGATTGAAACGGGATTCGAGACGGATTTTGTTTGCTCTCTTGGCAGCTTTGGATTCTAGGGGCGATTCAAAGACAAACACTCGTTTCATTTCGGAAGCAATTACGTCGCAAATCGGCTGTGCAGCTCATGTTTGCTTCACTTGCTGAGCGATTGATTTAATGTATTGTAAAGCGAGAGGAGATTAAGTGTTCTCGTATTGTCCTCCCTGGCAGAGGCACTTGAAAACTAGCGCAGATGTGTGTGTGCCCCATTGCCGGGAGATGATAATTGGCCGGAGCCTGTGGTACGTTTGTTTAGTCACTGAATGGGTCTTTGATTTGACTTTAATTGAGCAGCGCAGAGAGGCAGCAAGAGCACAGCACAGCGGTAAAGAAGACAACACAACGGAACCGTTGAAAGGTTGCCTACGCAGGGCCACCTAGTGCTGTTGCCGCTGGCGAACAGTAGTGCCAAAGTGGAACTCGCTGCCCCGAAGGTGTCCACAGCGACGGTGAGTGTTTCTCTCACTCACTCACTCCTCAATGCTCGGCTTAATTGGAAAGAGCACAGGAAGGAGAGAAAGAGAGAAGGACCAACATTGCTGCTGTTGCTGGTCCTAGAGGGAACTTGCTGAGGAGGAGGAGGAGGCAAAGCTCGAAACGCTTGATTAGCTCTCTCGGTGAATGGCCGCGCGCGCTCTCGAACTCGTTGGGAGTCGGTACAGCTGCGGTTTAGAGACAGAGGCCTGCAGCAGCAGCAGCAGCGACAGTCCTCTCCCTGGCGATGCTCTACCTCCCGCCGAAGAACAGCCCTTCGAATGCTGCTCTGGTTTCCCTTTGGCTGTCTATCTGCTGGCCGTGGTGGTGGTGTTCGGAACCAAAACAAACCTCTCGAAGAGAAAGAGACGCAGACCTTGCAAGCGAACAATTTCGAATATCAGGAGGCATATATAAAAGGAGGGTAGATGCTGGTGCTCAAGTAGTGGCACTTACTGGCTCTCGCTTAGGTGCGATAAAAGTGTATCCTCTGCGTTGAGCTGCTGCACTTTGTCAGTCGTCGAAAGCTGGGGTGCTGCTGAATGTGCTTGCCTTTTATCCCCTCACTGGTGCAATTCCGCCATTCCACCTCGAACATTCTGAAGCGCCAACCGGTGCGCATTTTCACACGGGAACTGGACCGTCTGACGCCTTGGCCCTCTATTTCATCTGCTCTCTCTCTCTCTTTCTCCCTTTTGCTGTCAGTCCTATCTTACATTCAGTGCGGTGTGTACAGTGCTGCTGCTGCTGCTGACCAGACNTTCTCCCTTTTGCTGTCAGTCCTATCTTACATTCAGTGCGGTGTGAACAGTGCTGCTGCTGCTGCTGACCAGACAGTCTTGCAGCCCCTGCATACTAGCCGAGTGGCCTTCATTCACCTTCTGCCTGGTGGGCGCCACAAAGTGCCACTTGCCAGCAGCATTGCCATTGACTCCTCCAATTCCATTGTCTTCGTTCTCCTTCTCAAGTATCTCTCCTCTGTTATCTGCGAGGAGACAGTTCAACCGAGTCAAGTGCTTCCTCAACTCCAGTAGCTGACACCCATCCACCGATATCACCAGCTGTACGGCAGACATCCTTACAGCAGACATCTTGAGATGATATGATGCAGCACAGCTACTACACATTGCTACTGCACCGGTGACTGCACAAATGAGTGAGTGATTTTCTAGGGGCAGCAGTAGTCCACTCTGATCCGAGCATCATCCAAAGAGAACTGCTGCCAGGTCGTCTCGATGGCCTCTCTCCACCTGATCATGGACACGCATGACTTTGAAGGCACTGACTTTCCCAGTTCGCCCTCCTCTTCCGACTACTCTTCTGACTCTTATTCGCCCAACTCCTCTTCTTCCTCGGTGTCCTTCCTCAGCACCGTTTCACTGTCAATGGTTGACCTGAAGAAAGCTGACCGAAACTTTGAGGATTGCTTTCATTCATCGCAGAACAACAGTGGTTCAGAGTCAGCGCACTCGTCCGCTGGCCACTGGCAGCGCAGTGAATTATCGGCCAGTGGTCGCAAATTGTCTTCTAAATCGGGTAAAAGCAAACGCAGACACGACCACCATCATCAAGTTCACCAGAGGCACGCCGCAAATATGCGCGAAAGAAAACGAATGCAATCGATAAATGACGCATTCGAAGTATGTTTCCTTTGAGGAAGGCTGCCCAGAGAACAGCTCTCTCTTTCTCTTCTAACACAAACTCTAAATTTTCCACCAGGGACTTCGCCAGCACATTCCCACTCTACCGTATGAAAAGCGCCTATCCAAAGTGGACACACTTCGCCTGGCCATTGGCTACATCAATTTTCTTGGAGAACTGGTACGCACTGGCGGCACTTCGCTGCAGCTAAATGGCGGCGCATTTCCCGGACGATATTGTCCCATTCCTCCGCCTGCAAAGAAAATTGTCGTTAAATCACAACAGCCTGGTAAGCCAAAATTAGTAAACCCATAAGGAGCTGACAATTAATCAATGATGATCTTTACTCCAACCAGGACCGGGTGGTGACCAACTAGGACCACATTCACTTTCCTGGGAGAGCGATGAGAACAAGCGACCTGGTGTGGTGCAGCACGGCAATATTTTAATTGCCAAAGTGTGGACGCCTGAAGACCCAAGAGGACCGACTACCTCCGATGGACCGAATGCAGATGGCCAGCAGCAACTGCAGTATGCTCCCCAGCAAATGCACACCTAATTTTGAAACACACAAACCCCTTCATCTAGTCTACCATTGCATTATCCTTTCTTTACCTTTGCAAAAACCCCAACTGCATTATGTATAAAGTACAATTCTCTACTAAACCATTTTCCGTGTCAGTGACTAAACTGTTTTAAAATGCACTTTTTAACACGTGCATTGATGATAAATAAAACAGCAAACTGATTATCACAATGAACACTTGGGAGATGACACTGACGTGCACTGATCAACGCACAAACAAATTACTGTTGACAGACCACGATGAAACTTTGACGCTCAGACAGGCTTGGCATCCGTTCTTGGCACAGCAGTAGTCCACGGCAATCAATTTAACAGTGATCTGTTACCACTCATCACCACTAGTGTGCCCTCTGGGCCCGGAAAGTGGAGGCGTGCCCAGCGAGTGAGTCAATGAGTGAGTGAGCGAGTGGAGCAGCTTCTCTGACACACACACACAGCTCATTGACGACCTGGCAGAGTGAAAGCATTTAAATCTCACCTCAAGTTGAGATTGGCCCCTGCTCATTGACAGGCTGCTAATGTTCAATTCACGGTGAGTGTTCGCAGAGAGTGCGTGCTGCTGAGAAATGGTGCAAATGGATAGAGTGTTCAGTGGATCAAGCGAGATGGTGGTGAAGGGACAAGCGTGCAGATAGCGATGCAGTTCAGTGATGCAGAACTGCGCCAGTCATCAACGTCAGGTTGCCAGTTAGTCGACAAACACAGAAGGCTCACTCTGTAACTCGCTCCTGTCACTTCCTTTCCCATTCTGGAGCATAATGATTTCGGTGCTGAAGCAGGCGCATTCCCACGTTGATCACGATAAAGCTAACACAGTACAGCAACAAAACCATAATTGACCGCATCATTTATATTCTCAAGGACAATGAATTTTATTTATCAGAGGCGTGCAAAATAAAACTAGGCTAGAGTGAATTAAACTGTTGGTTTTTAATGGACAAAAAAGAAGAATTACTCATTGATGTATAGTACTCAAGGGCAAAAGAAAGAAGGTGATCAAGTGTAAAGCATATGATGAATATAAGTGCATGCATGCTAATGAATTCCATATTAGGGATGATTACTTTTGTGAATAAAATTGTTCAGGCTTCGTCGATTACATCAAAACTACCGTCTTCTTCTTCGTTTTGCCCGGCAACGTTCTCCTCCTCTTCCTCCGTGTCCTCTTCCTCTTCTTGCATTATGATATCGTTGACTTGCTGAGCAATGTTACCATTGGCAGCCTGCTGTTCGCTCAAGAACTTGTCAACTTCATCTCCAAAGATATTCATATCCTCAATGTTCATCTCGAAGATGCCCTCATTTGTCTCATTAAGATCCATTATCTCTTCATAATCTTCTTCTTCCAAGTTGACATTCTCCAAGTCGTCAGCATTGCCATTCTCATCATTATCCCCTTCGCCCACAGTTTCTGGAGACTCCTCCTCATCCTCTTCATTTTCACCGTTTTCATCATTGTCCTCATTTTCTTCTTCGTTTTGGCCAGAAGAGCTTCCGTTTTCATTTTCCTCCGGTTTGACTGATACTTCTACTTCTTCTTTTTTCACTTTAGTCAGATCCACAGAGTTTTCAGTTTTTTCGGCCACATCTTTGCTGGCAGTCTGCACAGTATCTTCGTCGTCATCGTTTTCTTTCTTAACACTCAGCTTTTTAGTATCAGTTTCAGCATTCGATGATTCCGCAACTGACGACTCTTTATCAACTACACAAGAATTTATCAATTCAACTTTAGATTTAAGTTCATTTTTATCAGTTATTTGTCCCTTGCCTGATTCAGATGATTTCTCCTTTTCCTTTTCGCGCTCATTCTTTTCACGTTCTTTCTTGGCACGGCGAACCATCTCTTGAGAGACACGAGTGACAATGTCTTCGCCTTTGTCCTTCATGCGAATCAGTGTTCGAAGCAGGTAAGAGTACTTGAATGCACTCTTTCGCTGGTTGATCATTTTCGGAGCGTATTCCTTGTTCTTTTGCAAGTATTTCTAGTAGCAAAATATGATAACAATTAGTTCAAGTATCAAGAGCAAGTTGTCAGCTTACCTTGTAAAGCGTCACGTGTTTCTCAGAAGACAAGTGCAACTCCGTTTGCTGAGTAGTGTAGAGAAACTTGGCGCACAAATCGCAATAAAATGCTTTGCACGGGTAAAGAAACTCGCTCCCTGAAATAATAAACGTGTCAGTAGTGGATTCCATAATGCATCGTATGCAAAAGATGATAAAAGATAGAGGTTAAATTTGACAAACAAGAATGGAAACAAATGTTCATTACCAAGTGTCTCAAGTGCATTAGTCGCAACGACCGGAGCTTTGTCCGAGCCGTTCACAGCGGCAACAGACGCCTGTTCAGCGCTCAACATTTGAGTGTCCAACTTCTCTTCAGCACGCTTGATAATGAGAAAGTCAGAGGTGCGGAGTCCATTAAGGTGAGCCTCACGGTGGAGATGAGTGATAAACTCATCAGTGGATTCAAAAAAGTTCTTGCACAGTGAACAATACTGATAAAACGGCAAAATCTGCTCAATCTCGTCTTCGGTGATCGGACCACTATAACGGGCAGAAGTTGGCTTAGAGGGCTCCTTCGATTCAGACTTGTTTGAACTTGAAGGTTCAACATTTGACGACTTTACAGAGCCGTTCTTGATTTCCTCTTTGTTTGAAGATTTTTTTGCAGTTGCCGATTCATTTGAAGCATCATCATCAGTGGGTTTCTTTGCCGTTTTCGTTTCGTCATCAGAATCATCAACATCAGCAGACTTTTTCGCAGAAAGTTTGGGAATTTTTGGCAGCTTAGCCACAGTTTCTGCAGTTGCTTCGATGGTTGAAGCCGATGACACAATGGAAGATGAAGAGGCATCCTTTGACAATTCATTTTTCTTCTTTTCAGTTGGCTCATCGTTAGTCACTTTAGTGTCACTGACTGGCTTTGATTTTGTTTCCATTCCCCTCAGTGCTTTGAGGCTGGTCTTTTTCTCCTTTTCTTTCTCCTCATAAGCCTTTTCAACTTCGGGGAAACTGTCACCCAAAACTATTCGGTTCGCTTCAAGTTGTCGTTCCACAGTAGCAATTCTCTCCTCAATGTCTTTAACAGAGGATGCAACCTTCTTGTAAATGTACGAATCACATTTGCCATCATCCTTTTTCTTGATCTCTTCAAGTTCTTCCAATTTGACCTTGTGAATCTTTCTAACTTTTGTCAAAGAATCCAGTAAATAGTAGTGTTCCTGAAATGAATAAAATTTCGTGTTAGTAAGATGACTGAAAAAGCAATTTATCTCACCTCTTTAGGAGCCAGTTTTCGGGTAGAGTTCTGAACTGCAGAGCTTTGTTTGTGTTCGCGACCATCGACACTTTCTTTTCCTTCCTTGCTCAAGCTTTTCCGAGAACGTTTGCGATCACGAGCGCCTGGACTTCGGCTGTGACTACGACGAGAGCGCGAGTGAGAATGAGAGTCCGTTCGGGACTCTCGCAGTAGATATCCTTTACTGTGCTTCGGGTACTCCTCCCGGCGAGATGGCGATCCATGTCGATGGTAGCTATGAAACCAAAAACGTTACCACTGTATTCGAGACTTGCAAACAGAGCTTACCGAGAGCTTCGGGAACGATTCTCCGGAGTGATACTTCGACTACGAGAGCGACTTAGATGGTAGCCTGGTCTTGCTGATCGCTCATGTCCTAAACTGCGCTCTGGCGGTAATGTCTCCCGCAGATCCGCACGACCCATTCTCATTGACATGTCAGCATATCTTGACATTCCAGTGGAGAGGTCTCGAGTTGAAAGAGACCGCTCATAGCTTGACTCAGGAAATGCCTGATAAGAGGACATTCCCTTCATGAACGGCGGCATTGGTGGAGGTTGTGGTGGTGGCGAACCAGAAGAGTTTGAATATTTAGATTTCAAATGATGAATTGGAGGACGGTGGCCACCAGAGCCAGAGCTCATTTTATCTTCCTCGTAGAATGAGGAGGCAAACGAGTAAGATGATGGGTAAGCCGTACTGTGGTTATCATAAGGAGTGGGAACAGGAAGTGGTGCAGCAGATGGAATAGGCGGTGGAAGTGCTGCCTTGAAGTTTGCAGATGGCTTGTTATTTCGATCAAAGTCCACAAAGTCCCGAAAACGATTGTATTCCGCCGTGGTGAGCGACTCGTAAAATTTTTTCTGCTGAACTGGTGTGCTCATGGCAAGATGGCGGTTATAGTCGGAGAACTGTTTTATCTCCTCGCTAGAAAAGTACTTTTCAAGCGATGATACAGCCGGCACAGTGCTACGGGTTTGTGGCTCGTGTTCACGGGCATAGTCCCGGTCATAGGCGTTAATAGAAGCAAGATCTCGACTTGAATGTAGCATCCCTGGGGCACCACCAGCAGAATAGGAAGACATTTTACTTACTGAGATGTCTTCGTTCGGGTAGCCACCATGTACCCGACCCACTGTACTTCCGCTACCATGCATTTCATACTTTGGGTGATGGCTAGCGGCCTCCTCATGAAGGTACGCTGCCCGATTGGGATACCCGGTAATTGACGAGTGCTGCTGCTGACTCACAGCCGACTCGGTTGGCATTAGTCGAGAAGCAGTGTGCATCTTCTTGTCTGTAAACAAAAGTAGAGCATTTAGAATAGGCCAAAAAGAAGATAAACTCTTGTACCATCATAGGGATTGTTACGTTCGTACGAATAATCACGGAGCATAGAAGGAGGCAACCCACTTGGTACGCTCGTGCCAACACTGTCCATTGTTTTGCGAAGGGGCTGCGGTCCAGTAGCCGGTGCTCGGGAGCCATAACTCATGGTGTCACTTGAGTAGGACTGGTGATGGGAAAGGGGAGCACCAGAAGGTATAGGGCCACCTGGAATTGTCCGGGCTCGGGGATACGCATCAGTAGGAGCTGCGGGTGGATGCTTCATGGCTGCAGATGGGCCACCTCCCTGATGGTAAGATGTCTGGTAGTAGTTCATGTCACCGTCCATTGTCTGCCCTTGGTCAGGAAAGGTGAGACCAGTCTTCAAAGAGCAGGCCTTTGTTCCTTGTAACCAACTAACAAAGTTGCTAATTTCGAAAACTGAAATAAATGGTCGTCGAGTTGACAATGACAATAGAAATGCAGACACTGGAGGACTCAATTTAGAAGCAGTAATAACAGTGCAACACTTTTCCTTACCTGTGGATGAGAGTGACAATAATTGAAGGGATCCTAATCACCTGTCAGTAGGATCCTCGTCGGTTGGATTTAGTGTGGACTCGAAATGACTCTTGAGGCCAGATCAGGCATGTACATGGAAACAAGATTCCTCGATTGTTCTTCTGCTCCGTTCAGGGGAGGAGCGAAGAAAGCATTGCCAAAGTGAGTAATAAATGCTCATGTAAAATTTTTGAAATATAGATGGCTGCACCCTCATTTTACCGATAATTTTTTTTCAGTAACAAATAATTTTTGAACCTGTGCTGCTTTCAAGCGACACCAAAATAATAAATACTTTTCTTCAAAACTATCTTTCGCTATCAACAATAATGATAAAACGGTATAAAAAGAGGATAATCTGATAGAACCCAAACGTGCTTGCAAACAGAGAAAGAAACGTCTCTTTTTAATTTAAAAAGTAATTTACAATCAGAATTTAATTGTTTGTAGATGAAGGAGGATATGTATAGTGGTCGACTAGATAAGACAAAAAAGTAAATTCAATGTTTATCTAATATCTGAAAAAATACTCACCATTAACCGACCAACCGATGGTTTCATTTTTAATTTGCTCGTCGATGTACTTGAAAAGCGGCTCAAAGTACTGAATCAGTGGTTGTGCACTCATCTTCTCACTGCCGGTCATCAACTTCATCGCCTCTGTCCACGGTTTAGATGAGCCCAAAGCGAGCATTTGAGAAAGCCGTGCACCAGCAGCTCGGTTGCCGTCAATGTCACACTGGTACAGTGGCACTCCAGGATGCGCAATGTCGCAGAGGGACTTGTGAAACTGAAACTGAATGACAAAGGAGACAAAGTACCTGCGAGGAGTACAGTTTAGTGGTTAGTACTCGGATGATTGGGCACGCCTCTCACTCGTTGTGATATTACCGAATGTACTCCACACTGGCCGGTATGTGGAACTTGGATCCACTGTCAAAGTCAGTTTCATTTCGGCGCACTGGCGGTGAGATGCCCTGCAAGCTGAGGCGATACTGCCACCAGGAACGGTTCATGGTCTCTTTGGAAGTTTTTCCCGAAAAGAGGTCCCATCGCCAGAGGTCCATCAGGTAGCCGAAGGGAAGAAAGGCCAGCTTCTGAAGTGCCATTTGCATCTGGTAATTGAGCGTAATCTCCTTATCTTCCACGTAGTCATGCAGTAAATTTATCTTGGCCAAATGGCGAGGTGTGGATACGGAAAGCGCCAGCAGATCACCTACCGCCTCGTGAAAGCCTGGGTTGGCTCCCTCTCGAAAAGTGATTGGCTGATCTTTGTACTGCAGGTAATACTGAATGTGTCCCATTTCATGGTGAACCGTAATCAAGTCCTCCATGTTTACGTTGGTGCACATTTTAATGCGAAAGTCTTTGCGGTTGTAAAAATCCCAGGCAGAAGCATGGCAGACTACTTTCCGATTAGTGGGCTTACTTATCATTGACTCTCGCCAAAACTCGCCTGGCATTGGAATCAATCCTAGATCGGTGAAAAATTTGTCCGACAACTGAAACATTCTTTGTGGAGTGTAGTTTTGTGCAACCATTGTATCACTGACGTCAAGTGATTTTTTGGTCGGAAAGGGAGCCACTAACTCAAAGATGTTGCCCCAAGACTGAGCCCACATGTTTCCGAGAATATGTGCAGGAATAGTGCCATCAGTGGGCATTCGTGAAGCACCGTAGTACTTACGCAACTTCATGCGTATAAAAGCGTGAAACTTGACGTAGTAAGGCTTGATCTCTTGCCACAGGTGTTCAACTTGCTGCTTAAAGTCGGATGTTTCCCATGGAAAAAGCCATAGATCGTCAAGTGTTTTGAATCCGTTCTTCACCGCCGCCTTATTTCCAAGCTCAATGTACTTCTTGTAAAGTGAGCGGATAGGACGACCCGAACTGTTTCGCCACTGAATCCACACATTACGCAGTAAGTCAAAATCTCGTGATTTAGCCATGAGATTGTTTAGATCAGGATCAAGCTCAAGGTTGCACTTTTGGGTACCGTTCAAATGAAGGCACACAGTCGCGCTGCTGTAAATTTTCTCCATTTCTGTTGAGACGTTGACAAACTTTAAACACAAAAATTAATTGCACATTACTAAATGTATTTCATTTTAGCTGTTTATCTAACCTTTTCAGAGTCTTTTGGATCTAAGGCAGCAGTTCCAAGTACAGATAATTTTTCAAGCTGCCTTTTCAAACGTAAATCTTTGTACTGCTTGTAATGGCTGAATCTTTGAATTTGCTTCCAAATGACCTTTTGCTCTTTGTTGTATTCAGCTGTTTGGTGAAGCTTTAATAAAGTATAGAAACGTTATTTTTAGTTGCCGTTGATGTATTTAATGGAAACAGTTGATAGGTAGTTACGCTTACCAATTTAGCTTCATTTACAGTGTTTATATCAGTGTTAAACTTCCATGTAGCCTCTACCTGAGCTGAGTTCAGTGTCTCCAAGCGGGGAGTAATTTCAGAGAGAAAGTGCTTTGCTTCGGCCTCTTCCACAGTCAAATTAGCAGCATTGCTTGCATTGTTAAGTGATTCACTGCCCTGGGAGCAGGAGATGACTAACATCAAAGCAAAGAGCCATTCTATGGCTAGGATTTTCCTTTCTGGCGTCATCTAAATTAAGCAAACGTGTGCAAGTGTTGATTGGACAATGAAGGACATCAATAAATGATCAAACAGGCGATTCGTACTAGTGCAAAAAAGCAATAAAAATTTAAACGCAGGTAAAAGATAAACGTTTAAGAAAACTGGTGTACAGATTAGCGCCACTTCGGGGGCAGCCGGTGTAGCACAATACTGCCCGGGCAAGTCACTGGTCATCCAGTTTAGAAAATAGCTGGTTTGAAAACTCACTACAAGTTTGTCTTATTCCTCGTTTCCTTTCTTTCACTATACAACGAAGGCCATTAGCCTTTCAGGGGGAAGAGCAAAGTGCATTGAATGCAAACAGAGATAAAGTAGAAAGCTTAATCTTTTCAAAGTTAAGTTGAACTGAGTTTATCTGGGCGACTTTCCACTTTTGAAGCGAAATTCAAATTAAATTGAGTCGTCTAGTCACTAGACTAGTGGCCGTTGTCCCTCTTCCTCTTCAGCCTAAACTGTGTGTGACTGACCGAGTGTCGAAGGATCATTTTTGCCAGCACACTAGTGCGATCAGCATGGAACAAAGTTTCTGCAAATGTCCTGTGAATCGATAGTGAACGGTCACTGCTAAAAACTTAGTGTTTAAAGGTCAGCTACTGTGAGCTCGCTGATTGAGGTTTTTTATGGTTCACTTGCATCAAAAAGAAGCGCAAAACAATAGCTGCAACTGTGTAATTTTGAATCGATTTAGTTTAAAAAGAAATTACACAGACATGGCGACGATAGTTTCCCTCCGCTCAGTTAAGTTGATTCGATTGTCTGTTGATGACTTTGCATTGTAATTTTTTGTTTTTCTTATTTCATATGTGTCAAACAAAAGATTTCCAATTTAACAATCAACTAAAATCTTTAATGAATTTAAATGGAATTAATGCAAAAAAAGTGTGCCAGAGTGTAATACAATTAGCTTTATTCAAAAAATATTGAAAAACAAATATGTTTAGATGGAAACTAAAAAATTTTTAAAAATTAATATTTTAACAAAATAAATGGCATGTTTAAGCATCTTAAGATATTTTGGCTAAGTAAATCATTACCAAGTTAAACAATCGTTTAAAATAAACATCTTTTAAGCTAAGGTCACTTGTCAAATAAAACGCTACTTCTAGAGTAAACCTGATGATAATAACTTTAGAAAATGGCACACTTTGTTGGTTTTTTGTAGTCTAAAGAACAATACAAAGAAACGGTATGACCGTGATTGACTTGGGTGTGAGCTGTCCGCCCAGTTATTTACAAGACAAACATTAGTCGTCGCTTTTTGCATTTTCTAATTGAATCATTGCTGATAACCGTTGTGCCATTTACTCTACTTTAACTCTTTATTGAGAAACTTTGATTACTGTCAATCAGAGCCAACAAGATGCTGCACCTTGTCAATTGCCTCCATATTCTTTAGTATGACTCGAGTCCCATTGCCAATTTTTGTTTTTCTGAAAAAACATGCAACTAGGCTGTATTTTGCATAATTTTTCAATTTGTTTATTTTGTTGCAAAAATAATTGGCAACTAAATACAAACATCAACAAACATGAGGAATTGAGCCTATTGCCGCAAAATTTTAAGTCATTTTTTAAAAGCTATCAAGTCTATTTATAGAAACAATAGCACTTTACTTTTTAGAAACCCCTCATTGATTGATCACATTAGAGATTAATAAAACTGAGTAGTTGAGGCAACTGATGCTACCGCATTGCGTTTGGGAAAAACAAAAGCTCTCTGTTTACTCAAGTTAGCCTACATAGTGCGTTAACTGCAGAGTGAAGGCCATTGGAATGAATCAACATGAGCTGATCAGAATCGGAAGTGAGCACCAGCAACTGACATTTAACAGAGTGAAAGTAAACAGTGAAAGTCATAATGAAAAAGTCAGCGTTTCACTTAATCGAGCAAACCTAACCATTGGACGGTGGAACTCATTCACAGCTGAGAGAAGGTGTCGAGTCCATAATGCTGCAAACCAGCAATTCTTTTTCCACAAAGCACTTGCACATTAGCACGCCTCAGTGCTCGATTGGCGTTCGGCAAAGTGCCAAAGTCTCGTAGTGGCCATCGTTCGGATGAGCAGACTAAACCGAAGAAGAGCAATGTAGAGCAGTGAGAGAGACTACAGTGACCAGCCTGTAGGAGGCTGCCGGCACATGACCGAAGAGTGAAACTGCTTAGGTGGGCACAATTTGCATTTACTGCTCGGTGACCCGTGCAAGAACAGTGCTGCAAGTAAAGAAAAGGTCGCATTCTTGCTTCAGTAATAAATGCTATAAATGCAAAAGCGATAACCGGCTGTTGTCTTCAACTTTCTAAAGAAAACAGTTTTTGCCTCAGGTGGCAAATGTACCTTTCTACTGTTATTTTGTCGCTAATTTGTTTGTAGTCATTTCATTGTGTGAGAATACTCCGCGTTCTTCTAATTAGCAGTGAAGCAACCTTTCGCACTGTGAGACTCGCACAGGTGGAACGCGGTTTTACATTGGAAAAGCGCTAAGAAAATGGCACCAATTTAATTGAAAATTTTGAACAAGTCTGCTTTATAACAAAAATCCTCTACCGCCATTGTTCTAGTAAGCCGATCAAACTTAACTGAACAAACTTGAGCAAAAATGAACAACAGGCAAACAAACGACAGTTCACTGTGAGTGAGTCAAGATTGCCTAAAGTAGAAGACAAAGGACACAATCAACGCACGAAGAAACTTTTCATGGCTGAAGAAGACCAAATACAGCCATCAGAGGAAAATGCTTTAGCAATCAACGGTCGTCGGGAGACTGAGAACACAGAGGTAAGCACCTCTGTACGACAAAATGATCTCGGTGGTGGTGGAGGTGGTGGTGGTGGTGTGTCTGTCGCACCATGGGGGAAAGCTGCTTTCGATGGTGGCGGCTGGCGTCAATGGGGCAAAGCCATGACGCCAGACAGACTGGCACACTGTGGAGCACTAGTTTCTTTGCGAAAGGCACACCGTGAAGCTCGGTGTGGAACAAGTGTCTGCTTATGTTTCGTCCACTCGAGAACACACTTGACGGCGCACTTTATGGCCGCCACACCACGCAGACTGTGCTCAAACAGAAACTAAGCTGCACAGCAACAACAGCAGTTTACTGCTCTCCCTCGTTGATCTGTCTTTGGCTCTCGTCAAATGCTGCTAATTAATATTCCTGCCGCCTTTGTTCTTAGCTGCTTCTCCAGGTAGCTTGACTTGCTTTGTTTACATTTCCTCCTCCTCCTTCTTTCTCTCACTTTGATATGTGTGTTTACCTAGGCCGAAAATGTTCGCACTCGTTTGCTGATAATGCCATCACGGTACTGATACTCCCTCTACCCGTATACCGGTTAGAAACCGTTGAACACAGGCGGCACAGTCTACATGATTTGAAAACTATTGCCAGTGCAGACAGAAAGGAACACGTTGTAACTGCTGCTGCTACTGCTTTGCACATTCAGCGGGGGATTGCAGCCTTCCATCGGGCAAGGATTGCCAAGCAATCTGCACACTGACTGCGGTCTTTGGCTTCTTCTTCCCCTTCGGTAGATGCTGCTACTGCTCTTGTCCGACCGACGTCCTACGGTTCGGTCTACCAGCAACAGCAGCAACGCGTCGGCGTCAGTGATAGTCAGTGATAGTGGGTAGGTAATGTTGACTGTTCGACTGTTCGACGGCGCTGTGCATGTTCTGCATTCCTCAACCGTCGGTGAGCTCAGTTTCCTAAGTGTATTGAACGCCAATGTCGCTCTTACTTTACTTGCAATTCTGCCTGCAGACCGGTTCAAATGTAGCAAGTGGTAATCATCATCATCATCATTATCATCATCATCATCCCTTTTCAGCATTGCCAGGCAGCAACGACTACCAAGAAAACGATTGTAGTGATTTAAAAAAGGGGAACATTTCTGTGTTCACTACTGGCCACTATCATAAGAAAAGTGCCGATTGCCCAGCAGAACAAAGCTTGAAATACAGAAACTTGAAAACACGGACACTAAAATGGCCCTTTACTTGCTCATAAACCAACAAACAACTACTAAGACTTGTTGATTGAACAACGAAAAAATAGTCATTTTATGAATTGTTTTTCAACTGATTAAATATCTAAAAATTTATCATAGAAACCCATTGCCAGTTTTCCTAAAACCAACATTACACACCTGCAAGCCAATAGATTTGTGTTCTTTACTTTCAGTACTAGTGTTTCATAAACTGTCGCAAATCAAATAATGCTCACTCAAAATGCCCTCCACTACTCGACACGAGATGTCCATCACTGGTTTTCCATTGCAAACTTCTTCACTGACTCACCACAAACTTTCCATTTGTTTTCCTCCTCTTCCGTCTTTTTGCTTTGCATAAGTTTTAGTGCTTTGCACCTGTGCACCACATCTGCACTCTCAGTGGATGCTAATCTAAGGCCATCTTTCAGTCACATTGCCCCCCACCACCATCATCATCAACACTTCCCGGAAGGGGAAACAACTGGAGAAGCATGGAGTGTAGATGGCTGGTGGCAGGACAGAGTGCTTGAAGACCGTCAGCAAAAGAATGCAAAAATGACACGGCCCCACTCTTTTGGACGATCTAGCAGACCATTTACACAAATTCGAGTAGAAGATTTTTTAGATGAAGAAGATGGCATCGACACTGCAGAGTTGATTCCCTCAAAACGACACTGGCCTAGTACTAATGCAGTACACTTTCCTCCTTTTTCTCGAGTAGATAGTGGCGATCTTGATAGCGCGGAAAGTACTGAGAGAAAATCTTCCACTGAAGGTGAGTTTCCTTAAAATTAAAAAACATCAACTAAAGTGATTGATTTTGTTTTAAAGGTTTTAAAAATCGCTTACTTCCCAAGTGGAAAAATCAAAGAAATGAAACTAAAGTTGATGACTCCAGTCAGAAGCACGCATCAAAAAGCAAGCCAACTGTTCACTCTTATGTTCCTAAAAGCTCCTTAGCATCAATTCGCAATTTTTTCAAT